GAAAATATATTTATGTTCTTAATTCCCATTCTAGTTATTCTTAAACAAGACTGTATAGTCTTGTTTTTTATTTATTACATAAAGGGTAGTCAATGAAGGATGGTTCTGTTTACCCTTCTGCCTATTCCAATGAAGCATGTGAAGGGGAAATAGGACAAGTAGTGTCTGTATTAACAAATAAATGAAAATCAAGGTGTAATCAGATGAATAGGATTTCTGGCTGGATAGTCCTGGAGGGTGCTGTGTAAGTAGTGTTCCTTAGGCGGTCATTCTAGTGATCATCAGAAATTCTTCTGTTCCCAGCAGCTGTGGATGGTTATTTAGGACTAAGGATTAACTTAATTTAGAGGTATGCCAAGTTCTAAAAGGCCAGGATCCAAATATGTATTTATAACTTTTTGATGGTGTCATGAGAACTCTTGAGCCAGGTTGGAGAGCTGAATCAGCGTTTGTGTTCCTGTGGGGTGACTGAATACAATACAGCATGTGGCTGGGGGAGAAGCAAGGTGGGAAATGGTGGGGGTGGAAATTGTGCACATTTGTTCATTCCAGCTCAGGAGTCATCTTGCAGATGAAAAAAAAACGTGGAGAACTTCTGAAGCCACTTGATATTTCATTATACCATTAAGTACAAAGCAATGCGATACTCGAATTTGAATCTTCAAACAGTTCACAAACATGTATTTATTCATCCCAGAAAAAAAAAAAAAAGGATGGTAGTTAATTAGCTGTGTCTTCTAAATGTAGGAGGAATTTGTAGGCCACCCAAAGCATTGATAGAAAGGCAAGATGTGGATTTCAAGAGTTTTTGTCAAAGACCACACCCCTCTCCATAACTGATAGTTGGCAACCACATTATTAGGAACAACCTTGGAAAAACATCCGATTTATGAGTTGCCTAAATGTTCATGTTCTTAATCTCTGGACAGCTGCTGGTCCAAGGCAGCCATGAAAGATTCAAATTTAATTAAGGTTTTTCATAATTCTGAAGAACATCTTGCTCATAGTGAATACATCTTCTAAATATGACGTTCTTTTTTGACACAGTAAGCTATAGTTTTACATACAGAAAGTAGGTTAAGAAATTTGCAAGGGATATTGGCTCGAAGCACTATAGTTCTAACAGATTTTTAATTTTATTTGAAATGCAAATCTCAGATTGGGATTTATAAGGTAAAGCTAGCTGAGCAAAATAGATTTAGGGCGTTCAGACTAGTTCGCTCTGTCTGCACTTCCTGGAAGATCTTATTACTTAGATAATTATAACAAACAGGGTTGCAATATCTTTATCTGTGGGCTGGGCTCTAAATTAGTATGAGCATATGACTTAGAAGGCTAGATAATAATTTAGACTTACATTACATCTGCTTAACAGTAAAAGTTTACCTATTAATAGTGAACAATTTTTACTGATCAAGCAAAAAAGTAAATTCTTCTTAGGGACCTGAAAAGGTGAGTAGATTGATTGTTGTATTTTGCTAGTATATGAATTAATCTAATAATTCCTGAAAGTTAGAATTTGCTAATATTAAAGCTTGTACTATAACGTTATCGTTTTTGTTGAGTCCTTACCAAAGCTGAAACAACTTCTTTTTCAAAATATATGTATTTTTTTATATAGGTAGATAAGTCATGGTGTTCTGCATCTGTTGATGTCATTCAGGAATGAAAACTGTAAAAGGAATTAAAATACCAGCAAACAGATGGATCCTGTCTGAGGCACTTGCCATGCCTTGGGACTGATAGAGGTGTCTTGTTATTTAATAACAATTTTTTAAAATCTCCAATTGCAGGTATTTCTGTAGGACTAGATCAGAAATGGTATCTGAAAGCGTGTGAGATCTAACAAGCTCTTTTCATAATATTGCTCAGAACAAACTGTAAGAAGGGAGTGTCTGGGAAAGTAAGACTTGCCTGAAGCACAAGCAACAGGTCTGTCTAGAAAAAGATGTCAAGCAAGTAATATTACATTATCTCTCTGGAGCAAAGAACATTGCTTTTATTAATAAATCGTTTGATCAGCAGGTTTACTCTAGCTTAATGCAGTTAAGCAGCAAATGCACTGTGGATACAGGTGAGAAAACAGGCAGAGTGTGGAGGCTGGGAGAAGGTAGAAGACTTAGTTCTGGTAGTATTTTTCAGCAAAAACTTTCTGCTTCGTGCCAAGGTCTTGATTGAAGGTTTTTCTATAAGTAAAATGTCAAGTTTGTAATACAGTGTGTCATCATTTTCTGTACCTTTTTCACTACAAATGGTCAAATACTATATTTGATGTTTAGAAGAAATGGTAGTCTTGAATTTCTTGGTAGCAACAACTGTGTATTGCTGTAGCTGCTTTAAGCACACGGAGCAGTAGCTTACAGCACAAATAAGGGTGAGCATGCAGTGCAATCTAGCAATAGAAACTATGCTATTTTTAGTATTTTTTCCCTCTTTTTCTCCCTTCTAAATTTGAGCCAGCCTACTGTCCTTACTCTCCTGATTTACCAACACGGCTGGTGGCCATAGATTTCTGGGGGAGTGGCTGGTGGCCACATCTGCCAGAGGAGCACGTTAGCCTAGGTGCCTCTGACAGCTTCTCTCTGTAGGTGGCTTTTCCTTTTTCTGAGGTGATTACTGACATTATGGTTGCTTTGAACTAGGAGATAGATGGCGAGGAAGGAGACTCATTGCAGCTGAGAATCAGGTATCTCTATAGTATTTAGTGAATCTACTAAGCCTACTGGCAGGTAAATGTGGCAACATAAGATGGAAATCTACCAAAATCAACAAAGGGAAGCAACAGAGTCAGAGGGAGTGTCTGTAAAATTCACATGTGTAAGCATTCTGAAATTTTAAGTTTCTATCATCTGACTTAATGACTTTCCAGATTAATCTGAGCATATGTTATTGCCAATGCCATTGAATGAAATAGTTGGGTCAAGTGCATTTTGGTGAAATTCAGTTACATTTAGCAGTGTTCATACTTAAATTATTGTTTTGACAGAAATGGAGAGACCAAAACCAACCATTCATTTACATTAATCTTTCCCTTGGGTAACACTAAAGATTTTTCTTCTCTTTTCTGATAAGGGATTCTCATATTCTTCTTCAGATCAATTTGATCTGAAGTTAAATAATAGCTTACCCATTATGACAGTCTATAAATGGCAGAGCTCAAATTAGAACGTAGCAGTTTGACTCTCATTCCTATGGATAGTGTAGATAGTGGTGTTGTATACGTTGACAAGAATGACATAGGGCTCACACACCTTACTGATAACACTCAGGTTATTAATAAATTAGCTTTCTTTGTGTATAGTTCACCAGCAATGTGGAGAAAAACCTGCATCTCAGGATTCTTCATTTGTAAGAGAAGCAAATAATTTTGACTTGTTAGTGAAAATTCTCTTTTTTTGATTGAACATTTCTTATGGTGCAGTAATTTAGACTCAGCCTTAAGTGTACTTCTAGGGATTCTTTCTCCTTTTTTTCCTGATGGTCCCTCAGACAAAAAATGGATAAGCTTACATTTTATAGCTGACTTTATCTTCTGGCTGCTGATTCTGCATTCTAACATTTAGGCAGGCTCCAACTGAGCAGGTAAATATGGGTGGTTTAGCAACCCGTCATGATTGGTTGTGGTGGCCAGCATCTGAACTGTCACTGGATGAACACAGCGCAAAAATACTTTCATCTATGGGAATTGCCATTAGATATTATTGTAGTATTTATTTAAATTCAAAATAATTGAATTCTTACCATAGGTGATCGCATGATAAATACAGATTAGTGATCGGAATAATTGCGGTAGCACTGGAATAATTGGCCCCACAAACATGTGCCCATTGCTGATACATTTATCTACAACCTGCATCATTTGAAGGGTATCTGTAGTCATTGTCAGACAGGTGTCTTTGGTGGTGCTCAGAAAGCTGTCAAAATTGAACAGGTTTGAATCACAGCTTTAAAAGCTTGCTGTATCGGGAGGTTTAATGTCAGAAGACTGACTTGCATACTTCATGGAAGAGAAATCAAAATTCTGTGACTCTTTAATAGCTTTGTCAGTATTTTGAGTTGTGTGTTAGAGCACTGCAAAAATGATGCCTAAGTACAATCCCTGTTCATCGCTGTGTGGGCACTGGTTTCATACTTCAGCGATGAAGTGATGTGCAAAAGAGCCTTATTTCAGAGAGGATTTTCTCACTGGCAGTGAAGTGGACAGCGTAAATTCTTTTCTCTTTTGAAATGTCATCTGTTGACAGTAGTGAATGCTACATGACTAAGAGTCCAGCAACACCAGCTCACAAACAGAGACTAATTTTGGACCATTTTGTTTGTTAGCCTTAATGTCAGATGGTAACATTGATGTCTTTAATCCTGTTTTAAAGAGGCAGCAGTAATTTCAGAAACTTCATGCTTGGGGCATTTTGGTTATTGGAACAGAAAGAACTTTTATTTTCAGTGTCATGAAAGAAGTGGCAGAAAGTCTGAATGGGGATATAGAAAGGAGGGGTAAAAATTATTTCAGAGTAGTCTTTACTCTTAAGGCAGCAGTCAAAAAGCAGAGTTCCTATGGAGTTCTGCCTGTAGGTTAAGCGTGCTTTTCCCCATGTGTTCATTACTTCATTAAAACCTAGTGAATGCTCATTTTCCCTACAGTGCAAAAGGCTGAAATGCACTGAATTTTAAATCTAGGAAACCATTGTTAAGGATGACGACTAGGGGAATCTCAAGCTTTAAGTATTTGAGATTGTTTTGTCTTGTTTCCATCTGCATTTCCTTTTTTAAGTAAAATCTTAAAAAAAAAAAAAAAAAAGGAGGGGGGAATTATAAATGAAAACTTCAGAAATCTCAAGTCATCTATCAAGAATACAAACCATTTTGTTGTTTTTCATATTACTGGGCTGTATTTTTGCTAGTGTGAACTTGCTTGTGTGGCTTAATTCATAAGGTAACAGTGACATTTTTCTCTCAGGTCTGGTTTAGTGTAATAAACATGGTTTCTTCTGTCTTTTCTGTAGAAAGAGTAAAATTCTGAAGAATCCACAGATGATGGCTTCTGACGCTAGTCATATGCTGGAAGCAGCTTTGGAGCAGATGGATGACATCATTGCCGGTATAATAACGCTTTATTTTACACCAAACTATTTCAAGATTTAACTATGTTTGTCTTTTTCCCTCCTGCAATTTTCCGGGTTTTGTTCTTTTTTTTAACCTTTTAAATTATTCTCAGTTTGTCAAGTTCTCTGTGACATGTAGATTTCTCTGGTTCAGCAGTTGTGTGAAGACAATTTAAAGTAAAGTAAAGGGAGAAGACCCACAATTTCACTCAGATGTGTGAATATTGAAGTAAAAGAGATTTAATTTGCTCTAATGCTATATGGTAGCTTAAATGCATCTTAATTCATGCGAAAATTTTCCATATTGTATGTGTTAGTCTTTTATTTCAGTTTGTCTTTTAAAAAAGTTTTCACCAAGGCTTCTGGTTAGCTGCATACCATATATTTGTTTTTTACACATGCATACATATATAAAAATAGGTGTGCATATATATATATATATATATATATATATATATATATATAAAAGTATACATAATTTTCTTTATTTATGATGTGTATATTTAAAATATCTTTTAGCATATCTTCTTGTTGGCATTATATTCAGCAGTGGAGCTATGATTTTCTCTTTAGGCACCTATCCACTAGAGATGCATCTGATGCAAGACACAATTTGCTGTCTTTTGGTGCTTTCATGGTAAGGCAATTAAAAAAATCTTCTCTCAACATTACAGAATGTTCTCTATAAGAAGCAAAGTTGATTTCTGTGGTTAGGACTCAGTAGCCTTGGGGTTTGTGCTCACACACCGTTCAGTATGAGCTCCTAAAAGAAGTATCTGGGTAGGGCCATGATCTCACTTGTGCACAATGGGAAAGCATTCACTAAAGCTTTATAATTTTAAATAGTGACACCCATGCTGTGCCTTCTTTTTAATTTTTTTCCCCTAATGATGAAGAAGATGACATCAGCCTCTTGTTGCTGTGTTTGTGCTGCTTCCTGCTTTTTTTCCTGCTCTTCTAGTAAAGCTTTCTATCCAGGGGCTAATATGGTGCTTCAACTGTTGCAATCAGACTAACCATGATTAGTCAGGAAGTCATTATCCAGGATTTTTAGTTTAAAGAATCTCTAGATTTTTTTTTTCCCCTCATGCACATATGAGTCTTCACTTTAATCTAAATGTGCAAGCTTTAACAGAGTGCTAAGATATACAGAAGTGTAAATGTGAATATGTAATAGATATAGCTCCACATATAAATTTTCACACTAGTCAAACAAGTTCCAGGCAAATTCAGATATGTATTTCCTTCTCCCTTCTTTTTCTGAATGCAAAACCTTATTCAAACAGGATTTTAACCAACAGAAGTTAATTGGGATTTTATTTTTTCACCTCTTACAAATTAAGATAGTCAGGGAAGCATTGGACTTCCCTGAGATACGTAAAGAGAGCACAAGAAAAGCAAGTCCTAAACCATAACTCATGAAGTAAGGAACTGAAATCATTCTGTAGCCATTGCAAACCCTGGGTTATGATCCTGGCTAGTGCTATAAAATAGCTAAAGTAACTTAAAAACCTGTGTCCCTTTAATTATGCTACGGAGACTGTGCTCATCGTCATACGTCTGGAAATTTTAACTCAATGTTTCTCTTCTGTGATGGTTTCTTCATAGCCCAGCACGTATGGGTGATAACATGGATTCACTGATGATTCCATTCGTAGAAAAATCAAGAGAAAGAAGAATAGGCATATTCTATTTAAATGGATTTTCAGATTAGACATTTCCTTTCTTCCATCAGTTGTCAGAGGTTTGTGGCATGTTTTCATCTGGAGGAGGGGGTTAGAAAACTTGTCATGATTTTGAAGATTTTCAGGATTTCGTCTGCTTCAGATTAATCTTTTCAGTTAATAGATCGTGCTTCCAACATAATCTCAAGTAGTCCACTATCTCCCTTTATGAGCAATAAAAGACCATGTATTCAGCAAACAGGTCCATAGCCTGGATTATCTCAGCAGTGCTGTGTTTTGTTTGGAAAAAACTTCAGTTTTACTTGAAGGTGCAATTTCATATTCCCTTCCAAAAAGCTTTGCAGACTTACAGGCTGTATGGTTTTTCCACTGAGAGGGTAACATTGCTACTCAGTAGCATTTCCACGAATGGGAGCTCTGAAAAATGGTTGTTGTGAGGCTAGTTTTGGGTAAGGCAGTAGTTGTTTAGAGTTGGGTATTTCTTCCATCGTATGGAAAGATAGCCTTGTAGTACGCAGCATACCTGATTAAATAACAGCATATGACTACCAAAGAAAATCCCATATTTACTCTAGTTTCATGCTAGAAAAATAATTGAGGTTGGAAGCCAGGTTTGATTTTTTTTCTGTTTGTTTGTTTTTAATATTCTTTTCATTTTCCCCACTCATTTTTCACAGCTCTTTGGTGGTGGTGGTACCCGAACTCTAAAACAAAAAGATTCAGGCATGCTAGTGGTATGTAGAGTTTGTTTCCACAGTGCATGGCTAGGTCTCGAGCAAATTTGCAACCTCTCCGTGAGAGTTGGCTTTATGACTTCACATTATTACGTTTTTAGTCTAATGTCCACTGATATTCAGTATAATATGAACAACAGGCTTATATAAAGATGTCTAATGGGAAGAGAACCAAGATATTTCACAGACAATGGGGATGTCAAGTCTCATCAATGTTAACTGAATACTTCCCATGTGATCTCAGAATTTTATCTACCTGTACCAGTAAAAAAAATCATATTGATTTATTCTTTTACTTATTTTTAGTTATAACATAAAGTAAAAATTTAGTTGGGTGGGAAAGTTGTTTACCTTACTTATTATTTTCCATTACTAGACATAGATAAGACATTTTAAGACAGGTTGAGTGAAGTCTGTTATGGTCATTCTCTTCTAGCTAATGTTCTGTGTATTCCAGAACTGATTCTTGAATAGTCTGGTATGATCGAAGGACCAAATATATCTGCTGGAGCCTATACTTGGATACAGTTATTATCCCAATTTGTCTCAAATTGAGAAACATAGTAATTATTCAAGTTTGAGTCTCTCTAATTCAATCCAGTAAGCTTCTGTATGCAATTTGAGCAGGGACTGGAAAACAAGAATGTTCTCTTGTCCTGTATGGCGAGAGGCAAGAGAACGATTATAAGGTAGGAAACGCCTTCAGAGGGAGGACCAGAGGACTGTCAGGAAACAAATCAGGACTGAGAGTCTTCTAATTGCAGAATTATATATACCATAATGACCAAATATTGGACAAATCATCTGTGCAAATGTAGATGCTCTTAGAATAGACTGGAAACAGCAAAAAATGAACTGTTCAGAGCTTGTGCTGCTTCAGTTCATGGTATCCAGCTTCCGTGGATATCTCTAGGCAGCACTGGATTCAAAGACTAAGGCTAAACTTCACGACTTTTGAAAACTTAGGCAGCTGATGAAAAAGATGTTTTCTTGGGAGTGAAGCCTAAGGGCGTACTGGGAGAGCTATGCTCTTGGCCTCAGAAACCTTTCCTTTAGGCACCAAATGAGCATTAATCACTATTTCAGAGAAGTGAAGAAGTCCAGGGATGTGTAATTTGCATTGGTTAATTTTTGAAGCTTGAGTAGATTTGTGTATGTGTATATATATATATGTGTGTGTGTGTGTGTGTGTGTGTGCAAAACAAGCATTCTCTCTGTTTAGTGGTAAAACAGTCCTGATTTTTTTTTTGTTAGCTGTAGTTATTACTGAAGTATTAGTTATTATTAAAGTAGTAGATTGTGGCCTTGTCCTTTAAGGTAGGATCTGAACATACACATACATATTACACATATTTACAGATTTGCAATCCTACTTTTAGTCTTCTAATTTTAAAAGTCATGTCCCTTATTTCAAATGTTAACATAGCTCATACATGATCCTGATTAGTCCAAATAAAAAGTAGACTGTGCATCTTAGTGCAATACAAAATGTATTAGCGTTTGAGTGCATGAGGGTAGGATTGTGAAGCAAGATTAACAAATTGAATTTCATCGGGCTTGATCAAATTTGACAGATAGGTCAGTGTTCCCAAGTCTTTTATGCTTCAGTACATCTGTACTGATAACCCACCCTCATAGCTATATAAATTAGGCATGCTAAATGATTAGCCTTATTTAGTCTTATTTGACTAAAATAGCAAAAAGGGCTAATGTGATTGTCAATGAACATGACTTACCCATTAGCTAGAATGACTTGCACTCCAAACAGAGGCTTTGTCTGAAGAAGGCACCCAGAGTCAGATCTGCCTATGCATTCTTTATTTCAGGTGCATGACTTTGGCATTGCTTCCCTCTGAGGTTTGACCAAGTCATTGCTTTCCTTTTTATTCAGCCTGTACCCATTTATTAAAATATGTTTCTTTGCATTTTGATTGTTTTTTTTCTTTGTTATATGTTCTAATGAATTCAAATATTTTTTATTTTACTTTTATATCAAACTGCTTGTCTTTGTCAACAATCTGGAAATACATTATTTCCTTTTGTGAAGAATAACCATAATTGTAAGATATAAAAACTCCTGTCACAATATTCTAGTCTGCTGCAGCTCCAGAGTCTCTTCAAATTCACCAGCTAGTACAATTAATGATTTTTGTTTTAACCAGAGCTCCTGCAGTTACTGCTTCCTGAAAAATAATGAGAAAGTTAAATGTGTTATCACATGGGCATGTACTGATATTTCAGTATTAGTGCCGAAAGATTAAAAAATACAGAGAATTTAAAAATTTGTCAGTTGTCCAAGTACGGATGTTTAAATTCCCTTCTCTTGAGATGGCAGAACGATTATTTTCAGTTCATTGCTTTGTCTGTGTGTTACAAACCCAACCACTTCCCACACCCTTGCTGGAAAAGGGGCCTTTAGAGTAAATGATACTTAAGAGATGAACTAGAATTTCAATCAAGTTTAAGGTATTTTCCTCATGGGATCTATTTGCCAGAATTTGAAGGAGGACCTGTTTGCAGGGGGTTTTGTGGGGTTTTTTTCCTTCTTTTTTTTTCTTTTATTGTTCTAACCCATCA